ATAAAGTTTCTAAACCATGTATAGAGTTTTAACATTATAAATGTTATATGTGTAATTGTAAATACTAGTTCTAGAACCCTGTATCAGAATCTTTGGAAGGGGTTTTAGCTGCTTGAAATACCTTTTGCTTACAGGCTGCCTCTCCCAGGGAGCCACCTGAACCACTCAACATCCCAGATCCTGGATATAAAGAGGAGGAGGAAGACCATGACATACAGGGAGAAATCAGTCATCCTGATGGCAAGGTTAAAAAATATTTTTGAAATAATGAATTCTGTAAAAAATAAACATAGGTTAAAGTAGTTCAAACATAGAGAATCTAAAATAATGCCTCTGTGGACAACGTGCCTTTAGTTGGCATTTCTCTCATTCAGAGAGTCAGCAAAAGCAAGCATACAATCTCTGTATCATCTTTGTTCTTACTCCAAAGCCTTTGTAATCCTTGGCACTTCTTAAAAGCTTCATTCCCAGGTCTTCCTTGCTTTGCAGCCTTTCTTATACCGATCCTGAGTCAGGGGCCTCTCTCCCTGTCTCCAGCTTACATCGTTTTATTCTTATGTTTAGGAAAGTTTCTGAGTGGGAAAACAGCCTAGGGGTTTCAGCTAAAGGGAAAATGATATATACAAGAGGTTATAAGGGAATTTTTCCTCAGGTTTATGGAAAATTTACTTTTCAAATGCCCTAATCTGGTCCATTTCTATTGAAATTAGAGCTCACTGCCAGCCTTGAGGAATGAGAGAAGGACTAAGAATGACAGTCAAAAGTAGTAATTAAGACTTTCCTGTACAACATCTACTTCAGGGTAATGAATCATTGATGAGGGAAGGTCTTCTTTTTTAGATGAGTTCCAGCTAATACATGGAAAAGGAATGATAAAATTAGAAAATCACAAATTTGCTGCTCCTGATGAAATAAAGGATCTTTTGAGTGAATGTTTTACATTTTATTATGAAAAATTTCAAAGTAGGCAGTTGGGAGGAGAATTATGCAGATCTTCCTTAGAAGGTGATCATCTTGTGTTGGTTTTTTTTAGGTGGAAAAGGTTTATAAGAATGGGTGCCGTGTTATACTGTTTCCCAATGGAACTCGGAAGGAAGTGAGTGCAGACGGGAAGACCATCACTGTCACTTTCTTTAATGGTGATGTGAAGCAGGTCATGCCAGACCAGAGAGTGGTATGTTTCCAGAGACGTTCTCCTCCAGGGCTTAACCATCTCTGGAGAAAAGGCAGACTGACTGACTCTGTGTCTTTACAGATCTACTACTACGCAGCTGCCCAGACCACTCACACCACGTACCCAAAGGGACTGGAAGTCTTACATTTCTCAAGTGGACAAATAGGTACACACTTGCTCCACCCTCTCATTAAATTCTTCCCTTCCTTCAAAAAATATTTATTGTAAATTTTTAAACAGAAAAACATTTCCCAGATGGAAGAAAAGAAATCACGTTTCCTGACCAGACTGTTAAAAACTTATTTCCTGATGGACAAGAAGAAAGCATTTTCCCAGATGGTACAATTGTCAGAGTACAACGGTATGACACCATTATATTAACAGAAAAACCACTCAGTGTGACACCTGTTCATCTGTGCTCAGAAGGTGCCCCAGCGTTGCATTTCTGATGATATACAACACCCATATTAGGGGGTTCAGTTTGAATGAATGTCCCACAGGCATGTCAAGCAGTCAACTTGATGTGAATTATCTTTCACATTCTGTTTTGTTCCATTGCTTCAAAACAGATTTTAAGTCTGATCATGCCTCTTCCCAGGAATAGCTCTCTTCCCCACCTGATACAGAGCATTCAGATGGTTTTTAAATTAGTGAAAGAAGGGTCCATTTTAATATAGCAACCAAGAGGAAGAACACAAGTTTTAAAAAACTCCTAAGAAGTATTTTGTGGTGAAAATGTAAATTAAAACAAGCTTTTCATGGGTACTTGTAAGTGCTAATCTGATAACTGGAACTATCAACCTGAAGCAGAAGCACTAAAAAGTTATAATTATATAGGGAAAGGAACCAAGGGATATCTCCAGAAGTAGCTGCCAGAATCAAAAGGCTACTTTTCAATAGTTTTCCTGTTGTCTATTTTCTAAAAGAAATTCTATTTATTTTAAATTTTACAGTGATGGCAACAAACTCATAGAGTTTAATAATGGCCAAAGAGAAGTACATACTGCCCAGTTCAAGAGACGGGAATACCCAGATGGCACTGTTAAAACCGTCTATGCAAATGGTCATCAAGAAACGAAGTACAGATCTGGTCGTGTAAGAGTTAAGGACAAAGATGGTAATGTGCTAATGGACACAGAACTGTGACAATCCTTATGTGATCATGAAATAACACTAACTGATTTTTCTTGTTAAAAAATATACATTTATTGTGGATTCTGTTAATTTATTGTGTGTGTGAGGAAAAGATTGTTTGGTAAAATAAAAGCTTACCCTATGGCATCTTCATTTTTATACTCCTGAAATGCAATGAGAGCTCTCATTTATCGTTTCAACAGACTAAAGAAAGCGTTTTTACAATAGTAAGTGCGTGTGTTCATTGGTTGGAAATGACTATAAAAACCAAGAAGTACAGGAAGTACATCACACAGATGTCCCACAGGCACATCAGCTAGAGAGCACTGGATCTGTACAGAAAGTGTACTCAAGGAGTAAATACACATCTCTTTAGCAAAATATTACTGTGTTCAGTTAGTACGAAAATAATTACAGCATTTGATCTACTACAGAGGCCCATTAATTGTAACAGAATGGGAAGTTACAACCAGTGAATGACTATAAATAGGTCACACACAATCATCATATAATGATTGTTATATAATCATAGTGAGGAGAAAGCCGTTATAACAAGGCTGACTTTGTAATGTCTCAAAACAGGACACTTGAGAGTAGAGGGGCATGAACAATGACTAGCCCGTGTTAACCCATGGACCACAGCTACCTTGATGTTACAATGAGATTAGGCTCATGAAAGCAAGATGGCACTGAAGCACAGGCAAGTCACCCACTTGTAAATTTATATAATTAATTACAGATTGGCCTAGATAGATCTTACCTGTCACATATACTATGAATCAGTTTTCTTTTTAATGAAACCTGTCAATTCCAGGTGACGTAACTGAATATGAAAAATCAAACTTTTCAAAGAAAATACCCATATACACACACACAAACACACACCACACCACACCACCACCCCCCACCCTGCCAGGAGAGGTAAGGATTTTTAAAAGACAAAAAGCACAAACCTTTAAAGGTTGATAGGCCAGGTGCAGTGGCTCATGCCTGTAATCCCAGCACTTTGGGAGGCTGAGGTTGGTGGATCACTTGAGGTCAGGAGTTCAAGACTGGCCTAGCCAACACGGTAAAATCTCCTCTCTACCAAAAATACAAAAATTAGCCGAGTGTGGTGGTGGGTGCCTGTAATCCCAGTTACTTGGGAGGCAGGAGAATTGCCTGAACCTGGGAGGCAGAGGTTGCAGTAAGCCAAGACCATGCCACTGCAGGCCAGCCCAGGTGACAGAGTGGAACTGTCTCAAAAAAGAAAATGTTGATACATGAGCAAACATTTCTGTCAAATGATATTAAAAAATGGGAAAGACAAGTCCCAGATTATAACATACACAACTGATCAAGGATGACTAGTATAAGAGTTTTCTACAAATGAATAAGGAATAACTCGATAGCAAAATGGACAAAGGATATGAACAAGCAGTAAGTGACAATGCTCACTAGCTAATAAACCAGTGAATGCATATTCAGTGAGATACACACTGAGATGAGATACCTTTTCTCATCACAGTCTGGCAAATAAAAGTCTGGTCTGGCAAATAAAAGTCTGGTGACACCAAGTGCTGGCCAGGAACTCAGGCAATCGATGGTGGGATAAATTGGTAGAATTACTGTTTAGAAAGCAAAAAAGAGTTGTAATTATAAAAGTAAAAAAGTAACCCTATGACCCAGCAAATTCCATCACTATGTATATGTACTAGAAATCCTCTCATGTATACAAGGATTCTATAGAGGAATATTTATGACTTAGAAAAAACTGGTAATGGAATATCAAGGTAAATTATGTACACAGATGGATACAGCAGTGAAAGTGAATAGTTATACATACCAACATGGATAAAAAGCAAATAAAATAGTAAAAGATAATTGTGTGACAGCACATACATCAAAAAATACATGGAGCAATTAACAGCAAAAATTGGGTGCTTTTCTGATCAATCTAGCATTAATCGCTACTAGTCCCATGCCTTATGCTACGAAGAGAATGAAAACTTACACTTATGCACTTGTTCATCTTTATCTGCAAGCCCCATTTCTACTAATGGCATATAAACAGCCATGTGGAACTGTGAGTCAATTAAACCTCTTTCTAAATTCCCATATCATTTATGGATGCATTCATACGCAATAAAATTATAAAGACCTTTATATGAGCGATAAATGTCAAATCACAACAGTAGTGTTTACCTCTTGATATGGTTTGGCTGTGTCCCCACCCCAAATCTCTAGTTGTAATCCCCATGTGTTGGGAGAGGGACCTCGTTGGAGGTGACTGGATCATGGGGGTGGTTTCCCCGGGCTGTTTTCATGATAGTGAGTTCTCACAAGATCTGGTGGTTTTATAAGGGGTGTTTCCCCCATTTGCTTTGCATTTCTCCCTCCTGCCACTTTATAAAGAAGAGGTTGCTCTCCCCCTTCGCCTTCTGCCATGTTTGTAAGTTTCCTGAAGACTTCCCAGCCATGTGGAACTGTGAGTCAATTAAACCTCCTTCTAAATTGCCCGGTCTCTGGCAGTTCTTTATAGCAGTGTGAGAACAGACTAATACACTTCTACAGAAGGCAGGGGGAATGCCTGGGAGAAGGCTTTTTGTACTGATGATGTCTTTTTAAGCTGAATCATTAAGTATAAAATGAACTAATTTTTTTCCGTATGTCTTAGCCATTTCATTTTGAAATTATGGTAAAATAAAGCAAATGTTGGGAAGCAAACATTTATTAACTTTTTTTACCCACACAATTCCTATATGTAAAAATTAGAAGAGTTAAAGCACTACTGCAGAACAAATTAGGAAAACCATTTCGGGTCTAAATATAACAGAAAACTTTCTTCTAGGCTTCTACAGATTATCTTCACTGTATACCTGAAAAACAAAATGTGTTATTTTAAATCTCTGCTTAATGTAAATGTTCAAGTCTAGCTGAATCACTTCTTATGGACAAGATAAAAAGTTAGCTGGTTAGCATGTACTTTAATAACTTGGTATGAGGATGCTGACTGTTCAGAAGTTCTGTGTGCTTAGCAGATATTTATGTGCTTAAATTATTTACAGTGCCCACTCTCCTGCTCTCCCCATGTACCTGGTACTGTGAGAGTCATGACAGCCCATCCAAGCATCCTTACAGATAGGGGACCTCTATGATACCTAGTGCTCAATAAGTGAGAAGGGCCTATGAAGAAATCTGAAAGAGATTCTTTTGGAGTGTCGATGTCATTTCTTTGAGACATCAAGGAAAATTGGGTACTTTTCTGATCAATCTAGCATTAATCGCCACTAGTCCCCATGCCTTATGCTATGAAGAGAATGAAAACTTACACTTATGCACTTGTTCATCTTTATCTGCAAGCCCCATTTCTATTAATGGCATATGAACTGGATGCTGCTCATCGTCATATAACGTCACTATTTGTTCTGGTGCTGGAGCCTAAAATTAAAAGATACAGTTGTCAAGACAATAATGTCTTTGCTGCCTTTTCCCTCTCACATCTGGCCATTCACACAGGTGGGAAAAGGTGTTCTCAGGGGTCTATTGATAATTTATACTCTGTGGTTCCAAAAGGCATCTGTAGTGTTTTCCTGCAAAATCCCATTCTTTCCATTCTTCTGCTCTATCTAAATTCCTTCTCCACGGTTTTCCCAAATGAAGCTACCACCATCCCTTGTTACAGTTCACTTGCATTCCACACAAAGCATTATACCTTTATGCGTAAACTGTGATGGTTAATATTAGTTGTTAACTTGGCTGAACTGAGGGATGCCTCAATGGCTAGTGAAGCATTTCCAGGTGTGTCTGGGAGGGTGTTTTCAGAGGAGACTGATGCTGAATCAGTGGACAGAGAGGAAGACCCACTCTCTATGTCGGCAGGTGGCATCCAGTTGGCTGGGAGACAAACAGGCAGAAAGGGAAAGTTTTCTTTTCTCCTTTCCTTCCTGGGTGGCGGACACCTTTTCTCCACCTACCTTCGGACATCATCCTCCAGATTCTCTGGCTTTTGGACTGCAGGACTTGCACCAGTAACCTCCCAGGGGTTCTTTAGCCTCGGACTAGAGGCTGCATTTTAGACAGCTTCCCTACTTCTGAGGCCTCCAGACTGAGCCACGCTACCAGCTTCTCTGGTTCTCCAGCTTGTGCACAGCCTGTCATAGGACTTCACCTCTGACTGTGTGACCCAATTTCCTTAATAAATCCTCTCATATATCCTATGGTTCTGATTATCTGGGGAACCCTTATATACTGACCAAATTTTGAATATTAGAGAAGTGAAAAAACACTTGTCTATAAGAAATACTTGCCGTGTCTATTTTCACTGGCTTGAGACAAAACTCTCTATGAGCTATTCATACCACTCTGCACATGCAGTAGCATATGTACAGAGTTTTCAAAAAGCGCTTTCCAGTAATCATGCTATGAGCTCAGTTTTGTCATAGCCAGTATGTCAGGAGTCCTCACGTCATGGCACCAGGCAGGAGTCACAAAGGAAGGAAGCAGGTTGAGCTGCACACCAGCAGTGAGCACTAGGTGAACCGAACATCACACATTCCCATATAAGGGGCTGTGGCTACACTTTCAGCTGACTGCCATTTCAGGGGGATGGGAGACCAAGGATTCCTAGTTTTTAGAATATCTAACCAGAGCCAGAAATACAGATTTTTTGGGGTAGAATTTCCTACTTTAAAACACTGTGTGCTAAATAAAACAAGGTACAGGCCAGATTCTGCTGTGGGCTGCTATGATATGCTCAGCCTCAGAAGAAGAAAATATATTAAACACAGTCTGGACTTTTTATTTGACCTTTTGATGCAGGTTCTACTATATGAATTCAAAAGTAGTACAATTATGAGATTAGTACAATTAGTATAATTCAAGCCTTTCTATAATGACCAGAACTACTGTTCTCTCCCACTCATCTTTTAGGATGCAGGTGAAAAGCCACGTTCCTGTTTTACTCATCAATTAAGTACTTAAGTGGCTTCTAAGTAGCAGCTCAAACACCCTTTGCTAGTCTCTCCAAATACAAATAATCATTTCTTCTTACACGGCCCCCGCCCGCAAAGTTAGCTATACCTCTGTTACAGTACTTATTTCATTCAGCTTCACACTAATTTGTTTGCATATTTTTCATTATAAGCTAATTATGGGATATTCATCTTGAGCATTAATTACATAAATGATATTTTATATCACCATAGGGGCAAGCAGTTTGTTAAATTTAAGCTAAGACATTTTAACAAGCCTTAAGCCCACATACATACACACACACACACACACACACACACACACACACACACACACACACTATATAGCTTGATATGCTTGAGTATACTATTGCATGTAGAGTTGCATAGACACAAACACTTTATAAACTTAGTGGGGACACAGAAATAGCTTTAAAATAATTTTGGCTAGTTGAGACACTTACCATGGATGCAGCATAAAGCTGCTTTCCTTGAAGACAGTCTATCATGGCCCATAGTGCCTCCATGCTCCATTTGGGACAATATGGTATTCTTGTCTCCCTTAGATCCCTTAAGGGAGGTTTAAACCCTGCCAAGAAAACCTTTATGGCTCGAGCTGGATACCGCATAAGATGAGAAGGAATTTGGCACAGTCTGTCGCAAAAGAAATTCTTAAATTAAAATTCTCTTCCAAGTGAAACTATATAATTCTTAGAAGAAAACACAGGGAAAAAACACTGGATTTTGTAGATTTTTTAAAATACAACAACAAAAGCACAGAAAATGAGAAAAATCAGATAAAATGGACTTCCTAAAAAATTAACTTCTGTGTATCAAAGGACAAAATCAACAACAAAACGCCAATCTACAAAATATACATAAACATGGACATTACTCTTAAGATCTACAAATGTCCAATAAGCACATAAAAGGATGTTCAACATCACTCTAAATCATTAGGGAAATGCAAATCAAATCCAAAGTGAGATTCCACCTCAAACCTACTAGAATGGCTACTATAAACAACAAAATTATAAGTGCTGGTGAGGATGTGCAAGAATTGGAACTTTTGCACACTCTTAGTGAGAATGTAAAATGGTGCAGCCACTGTGGGAAACACCATGGAGGTTCCTCAAAAATTAAGCATAGAATATATGATCCAGCAGTTCCATTTCTGGGTATATACCCAAAATAACTAAAATAGGTACTCAGAGACATGTATACCCATGTTCATAAAAGCATTATTCACAAGAGCCAAAAGTGGGGAGCAACCCAAGTTCCACCTTCCAGTGAAGGGATAAGATGTAGTATATATACTGTATGAGGGGGCTCCAAAAGTTCATGGAAAAATGAAATTAAGATGAAAATAAAAAATGTAAACTTCATTTCTCAACATAAGTTCCTTCAAGATCATGAAACATTTGTAAGCTATGGTAACAGTCATTTAGCCCATCCCTTAAGAACTGAGGGTCCTAGAAATACTATGTCAATGTGATCTTTCTTACATTATTAACAGGAGAAAAGTAAGATTAAGAAACAAAAAACAAGTTAGAATGGGCCAAATCAGGACTGTAAAGTGGATGCCTAATGATTTAGGCAAAACTCTTGCAAAATCGCCCTTGTTTGATGAGAGGAATGAGCAGAGCACTGCGGTGGCAAGGGACTCTCTGGTAAAGCTTTCCCAGGCGTTTTCCTGCTAAAGCTTTGGCTTTCTCAAACAGTCATAATAAGATGATGATGCCATTCTGTGGCCTTCCAGAAAACCAGCAAGCTAAAGCTAAATGCCTTGAGCAAAAAAAAAAAAAAAAAAAAAAAAAAAAAAAAAAAAAAAAAAACCTGTTGCCATGGGCTTTGCTCTTGACTGGTCTACTTTTGACTAGACCACTTCTACCTCTTTCTTTTCACTGTGTTTTGTCTTCAGGATCATACTGGTAAAGCCATGTTTCATATGAAGTTACAGTTCTTTGAAGAAATGCTTCAAGGTCTTCATCTTGCTTGTCTACAATTTCCATTGAAAGCTCTGCTCCTATCTGTAGCTGATCTCGGTGCAACAGGTTTGGCACCCATTGAGTGGAGAGTTTGCTCAACTTTTTCAGTCAGAATTGTATAAGCTGAACCAATTGAAATGTCTTTGGTGTTGGCTATTATTTCTGCTGTTGCTGGTCCTCTTCAATTAGGGCATGAACAAGATTAATTTTTTTCCTCATAAATTGATGTGGAAGGGCTGCTGCTATGGGCTTCATCTTCAACATCATCTCATTCTTTCATGAAACAAGTTATCCACTTGTAAGCTGCTTTCTTTGGGGCACTGTTTCCATAAACTTTTTATACAGCAACAATGATCTCACTCTTCCTTCACCATAAATTTGATGTTTGTTGTTTCAATTTGAGCAGAATTCATGTTGCACTTTTAGTGTCTCAAACTAGATCCTGTTCAGACACGTTAGAACAAGTTAGTACAATTTTATTTTGGTGAAAAAAATGTTGAAATCCATGCAGTTTTTTACATAGTATGCATTTTCCATGAACTTTTTGAAGGCCCCTCATATATATAATGAAATATTTTCAGCCTTAAGTAAATTCTGACACATGCTACAACATGGATGAATCTTTAAAAATTATGTTATTGAAATAAGCCAGTCACAAAAGAACAAATATTGTATGCATTTACTTATATGAGGTACCCAGAACAGGCAAATTCAGAGACAGCAGACCATGGGTTACCAGGGACTGGGTAAGAACGGACTAGGATGCTGTTGTTAATGGGTGCAGGATTTCTGTTTGGAATGACAAAATCATTCTGGAAATGGAAACTGGTGATAGCCGTATAACCTTGTGAATGTATTTAATGCCAGTTAGTTATTATACTTAAAAACACCTAAAATGGGCCAGGCGTGGTAGCTCGTACCTGTAATCCCAGAACTTTGGGAGGCCATGGCAATTGGATCACCTGAGGTCAGGAGTTGGAGATCAGCCTAACCAGCATGGTGAAATCCCATCTCTACTAAAAATACAAAAACATTACCTAGGAGTGGTGGGGAGCAGCTGTAATCCCAACTACTTGGGAGGCTGAGGAAGGAGAATCTCTTGAACCTGGGGGGCAGAGGTTGCAGTAAGCCAAGATGACTGCACCACTGCACTCCAGCCTAGGTGACAGAGCAAGACTCCATCTCAAAAACAAAAACAAAAAAACCTAAAATAGTAAATTCTATGTATACTCTTAACATAATAAAAAATCTAGATTAAAAGTTTCCTAATATATAAACAGCCTTAGAATCATCCTTTTCTTTTAAAAAAGGCAAAATATTCTCAATAAGAAAACTACATATATATAAAAACAAAGAAACCTAATTCAACACCCTGACATTGATTTTTAACCTGTTTAATGTCAGCTTTGCAGTTGATCCATAATCAACAAATTGTGCCAGGATAGATAAAGGATTAAATTCTTTTATGGAAACAATCTTCGCTCTATACCATAAGCCATCATCATATTCTGCAAGACAAGGCATTTCTGGAAAGACAGAAAGAGGGAAAAAATCATATTGTCTTTTATTAAATGTTTTTACTCCAAAGGAAATCAACATTATCAAAGAGCTATCTGCATCCCACGTTTACTGCAGCACTATTCACAATAGCCAAGATAGGGAATCAAGCCAGGTGTCTGTCAACAGATGAATGAATAAAGACTTTTTGGTGTATATACACAATGGAATACTATTTGGCCATTAAAAAAAAGGATGGAATCTTGTTATTTGCAGCAACGTGGATGGATCATTATATTAAGTGAGATACGACAAGCACAGAAAGACAAATATCACATGTTCTCACTCATCTGAGAGCTAAAAAAGTGGATCTCAGGAAGATAACAAGTACATTAATGGTTACATGAGGCCATGAAAGACACGTATATATGTGTTTGGGGTGGGGGGGAAGAAGAGAGGTTGGTTGATAGGTACAAACATATAGTACAAAGAAGTTTCAATATTTGATAGCAGAGTCGTGTGCCTAGTTAACAACAATGGGTGGTATATTTCAGATTAACTAGAAGTCTTGAAATGTTCCCAACACACAAATGATAACTACTCAAGGTAATTAATACCCTAAATACTGTCTTGATAATTACAAATTCTATGCATGTAGTATCACATGTACCACATAGGCGTATACAATTATATATCAGAAATGTTTAATACAGAAAAGTACAAAGAAGAAAATGTAACAACCATATGCTCACCATCCAGAGTTAAATATTGAACCGTTAGCCTCATGTTGGTTTCTTTTTCGTTCATAGTTTATAAGCCTTTGTTCACTAATTCCTGTGGATTAAGCTTCAAACAAAGATACTTCACCCATTTTCAGAGTTGCTAGTTCTTCTATTCCTAAGGCTTATTAGCTCATATTGCCACTGCCCCAACTTCTGATACTACCCTAGTCTCTTTTAGCGTGGGTCATCATCTTTGGCAAAGGATGATAAATGTTTGCTGTTCCTGCCTTCCATTCTATCCTCCCATTCATTTGCTATGGGACCACCAGAATTAAATTTTTAAAAATTCAACTAAATTGCTCTTATTTAAAATTCTTTAATGATACACCTTAACCGCCTGTAATGTCAAGTCCTTATTGCAATTCACAGGCTTCTTCAGTTATTTGTTCTCCTAAACAACTTCTACCATATTTCCTCAATGAGTTACCTAAATAGGATTACTTAAAACTTTGATGCGTCTATTTAGCTTATGGCTGCCCTCCTCACTAGAGTGTTTTTCCTGAGCCCTTCTTTTTATGATGTTTATCATAAACATCAGAAAAACATTCTGACAGTTTTTAGGGTATTCATTACCTTGAGCAGTTATCATTCTTTCAAAGCCTAGCTCCAACATGACCAACAAAGGCCTAATAATTGATCACTGCTTTCCCTGTGATCCTATGGCATTATGCACACTCCTCTAAGAGGAGCTATTCTTTTCATACTATACTTGGTTTACATGTCTCTTTTCTGCTTAGAGCACCTGTTCTTGAGTGCAGAACTGCTGTTTGTATTCCTAGCATAGCACCTGATACATAGCACCTAAATACTCAGTAAAGAAAAAAAGTGTGCTAATGAGTGCTAGGCTTGAGTAAAACTGTGGAAAAATTAGTACAGTATGTACTTCCCTTTGTACATGCTTAGAGTGATGGCATGTGCCTCAGTTTCCCATCTTGTTCTACTTCCTTATGTCATCATGCTTTCTACGTAATTTCACAGAGAATTCTGTTTGGCAAGTGATATTGAAATATATGACTAATGAATAAGGATTTTTATTTCAAGTAATTTTTATTAAAGAATTATAGACAATTTCTTGCATATATGGAGTCATCAGGGCCAGGTGTAGTGACTCACGCATGTAATCCCAGCACTTTGGGAGGCTGAGGCAGGCAGATCACCGGAGGTTGGGAGTTCGAGAGCAGCCTGCCCAACATGAAGAAACCCTGTCTTTACTAAAAATACAAAATTAGCTGGGTGTAGTGGCACATGCCTGTAATCCTAGCTACCTGGGAGGCTGAGGCAGGAGAATCACTTGCACATAGGAGGTGGAGGTTGCAGTGAGCCAAGATCACACCACTGCACTCCAGCCTAGGTAACAGAGCAAGACTCCGTCTCAAAACAAAAACAAAAACAAAAGGCTGGCATGCTGGCTAATGCCTGTAATCCCAGCAATTTGGGAGGCCAAGGTGGGCAGTTCACTTGAGGTCAGGTGCTTGACACCAGCCTGGCTAACATGGGGAAACCCCATCTATACTAAAAATATAAAAATTAGCTGGGTATGGTAGCACACACCTGTAATCCCAGTTACTCGAGAGGCTGAGACAGGAGACTTACTCGAACCCAGGAGGAGGAGGTTGTAGTGAGCCAAGATCACATCACTGCACTCCAGCCTGGGTGGCAAAACGAGACTCTGTCTCAAAAAACAATCAATCACTGAACACAGCTAAGACTGATGTTTTTTTCCTTTGCTAAAATATCAAGAATAAATACATTTGTATGCATCAAATACTGCAATGACTAGATACATTTTCCTCAGAGAAGACTCACACATATTTAATAAAGATGGGAAGAATGGACAGAAAAAAGAGTAGAAATCTGACCTATCCTGACAGAACAGGTCATACTTTGAGACTTGACCTCAACATTACCATTGTAGGTAGCTTGTAATTAAAATGACAGCCATTAAGGTCTGAATGACAACTCTTGAAATTTCAGCTACTGATAACCTCAAACTTAAAAAGTCATCTTTATGCAATTTTCCAACACCATCTTATTTGTGGAACATGAAAGTGTCCTCAAGGGAGTTTACTTAAAGTCTCTTAGTTCACCTTCCTAATCTAGAAAGCGAGAAAGAGGTCATCTTCTTGGTTTCTTGAGGATTCCAAGAAATCATGCATGTAAAGTGAACATGAGGAAAATATCAACATGAGCGATAGCCCAAGATTATCAGCCCATTAAAACAAAATCCAAGTTTTATTAAATATTGCTTCACTCAAATGTGGTAAGTATACCTGTTCTAAAATCTGTCAGAGGAGGAAGCGTCTCTACTTTCGTATTAACCCTCTGCAGTGCTTCATCAAGGCTTTCGGATTCTGATTCCCCGCTGACTCCACTATCATCTGTGTCACTATGCTGGTTAGATTGATTACAAGTTTCTACTGAATCAAGGCAAATATACACCTAAGTTGGGAGAAGGAAAGAAAAAATTTCAGATTCTGGAATTTCAAGAATTCATTTATGTGGACAAAATTACTGTGGTAGTCTCCAGCGATGTCCCCAGGAAACCCCTACCTCCTGATATTCACCTCCTGTTCCTTCCCACATCCTGCCACACTTATCTTGTAATCAAGAGAACATTATTAGGCTGGGCACGGAGACTCAAGCCTATAATGCCAGAACTTTAGAAGGCTGAGGCGGGAGGATCACTTGAGCTCAGGAGTTAAAACCAGCCTCAGCAACACAGTGAGACTTCATCTCTACTAAAAAAAAAAAAAGAAATAGCTGGGCATGACAGTACATGCCTGTAGTCCCAGCTAGTCGGGAGCATGAGGCAGGAAGAAAACTTTAGCCTGGGAAATTAAGGCTGCAGTGTGCTATGATTGTGTCACTGACCCTCCAGCCTGGATGACAGAATGTGACCCCCATCTCAAAAACAAACAAACAAAAACAATAAAAAAAAAAACTATACAACTGCAATGACAGTGTGTGACTCCTGAGACTGACTTATAAGAACATGTAGCTTCCATTTTGGTAGGAGCTCTGCCAGGAATTTCATGCTCCAAGAAGCCACAGCCATGCTGCAAGCAGACAAATGGAGAGGCCACGGGCAGAAAACAGAGCCTTCCAGGTGGTGTCATGTGAGTGACTCTTTTCAAAAGTGGTTTCTGCAGCCTCTGCCAACATCATGATTGCAGCCTCCTGAGAACCTGAGCTAGAGTGCTTCACTCAGCAGCTCCCAGATTCCTGACCCTTGTGTGTGTTCTACTAAGCCGCTAAGTTTAAGGGTAACTTGTGATGCAGCAATAAATAATAATTTCAGCTACTGATAACCTCAAACTTAGAAAATCTAGGAAGGCTGAGGTGTGAGGATCGCCCACCTCTGTTTGGGTAATACAGAATTACCCAAACCAGCAATAGTTGTTTAGCAACTATATAGAGCATAACATACTACTTACTCTGCTCTCTGATGAAATTAGAAAGCAAATCCTTCCCCTGCCAGTGAGAGAATGGCTTACTGTGTAAAAGGCTAAAGGAGCTGCTGAAGCTACTTATTTCTTCCTCTCTTTGTTAGCCAAGGACATGTAGGTGAACTTTCAGTGCCTTTATTCATACATTTAATCAATATTCACTGGGTGTCTAGTATTTATCAGCCACTATTCTAGGTTCTTGGGATACCTCAATGAACAACATGGAGCTAAATCCTAAGGGGAGGCAAACAAACATAATAAGGAGAACACGGTATCAGCCAGGTGGTTGAGTGGAAGAGTTCAGTGCAGGAAGAGGAAGGGGAGATGTTTAAGATTTCACAGGTAGAACCATAAGTATCAGATATAAAGGTAACATTGAATAAAGCAGCACAACACTGGGAACCCAGTTCCACCTTAAAAATCTAAATATCAGATATAAACATAACATCGAATAAAGAAGTACAACACTGGGAACCCAGCAGGTCCTTAAGAAACACTTGCCCTAAATATTAACAAATATCTGAAGAGAATATTACAGGATGAGGCAAACTAGTGGTCACAAATTTGCAACATTTGAAATCAGAAAGGTAAAGAAATGAAGAGTCACTTCTAGTGTTTGTTTTTTTCTTTTGAGGTCTGTACCATTTGAACTGTAGAGATTCCTAGTGTTTAAGACCAAGATAGATTTTTATGTTTTTAATCACCAACTAATCATTTAGATCACATACTTCATTAGGTGAGACAACGTGCTTAACTTGAACAGCACAGAGTTCTCCTGGGGGAGGCAGAGATGAAGACAAATACGGTGGTAAAAGAGGAGTCTCTGTTTCAGACAAAAGCAATTCCTGAAATACCACAAAAAAATTCAAATTTCAGAACAAGGACAAAAATCTAGTACATTATAAAAATTCATGATGGTGCCAATTTACTTTCAATTAGCAGAAATCAAGCTCTCTTAAATACTGAATGCCACAGAATAATTTTGTTACAGTAGGACCAAAAGGTGATGATAAAGATCTTTAATATTCTTTTGTCCTCTAATTTTAAAAAGCATTTTGTGCAAAAAAAAAAAATGCATGATTGTTTACTGATTATCTACATATACACATACAATTCTAGATGAATAGTCCATAGTAACTGCCACTAATGAAGGCTGGGATGTCTGAGGTGCAGAATGAGGAACAGATCCCTTTTCCTTTTATAAACTTTTACGGTATTTAAGTACTTTCTAATAAAAACTAAAATAATATATGAAATGCTAAAAGAAAATGTAAGTTAAAATCATCAAAAAGGTGATTTCTACGAAAGCATAAGAAATACTACGATTATGTGATTTCCAAGAAGATCACAGCACCTAGCAATTGTTAAAAGCAAACGTATATAAAAATGTGGTGCATGTTTTTCTGCAAATACCAGCAATATCTTTATAAAAAATTCTTATTCTTCAAGAATACGATAATTATCTTAAGTAAATCCATCATATTCAAATTTGTAGGTTAATTTATTACTATTTAACATTTCCAAACTGGTAGCCAAACAAAACAAAACTTTTGAACCTAGGAAAATTCAGCAAGAAGTGATCTACCACTGTTGAAATTTGTTGAACTTAACTAAGAAATATGTAATTTACAATAAGGGTATGTTATTTTTGTAAACTACAAAGGTTTACTTATTAAAACTCTTCCTGCACCAAAAAGTCCAAATGATAAAAGAAAAAACAGATAAATTGGACTTCATCAAAATTAAAAACTCTGGTACTTAAAAGCAAGCTATCAAAAAAATGAAAAGAAAGCTGGGTGTAGTGGTCTGTAGTTCCAGCTACTCTGCAAAAAGGCGGGAGGACTGCTTGAGCCCAGGAGTTCAAGACTAGCCTGGGTAATATAGCAAGACTCTCTCTCTCAAATCAATCAATGTGAAAAGACAACCCACAGAATAAAAGAAATTATTTGCAATCATATATTTGATAAGGTACTTGCATGGAGAATTATAAAGAAACGTTACAGCTCAACAATAAAAAGATCAATAACCCAAATATAAAAACGGGAGATTTGAAGGGATTTCTCAAATATATATATGCATAAATGGCCAATAAGACATGAAAAGATCCTCAACAATACTAATCACCAGGGACAAGCGTATCAAGTCTACAATGATATGCCACTTCACAACTAAATTAAAATGGCTAGAAAAAGATTACAAGTAGTAATCTGGTGAGGAGGTGGAAAAACGGGGTCCTTGCGCACACACTACTGGCATACATGTAAAATGATTCTGACACTTTGGGAAACTGTTTTGCAGATCTTTAGAATGTTAAACATAGTTACCATAGGCTCAGCAATTCCACTACTAGGTGTATACTCTAAAGAAGGAAAAACATGTCTACATAAAAACTTGTACCTGATCAAACAGCAACATTATTCACAATCACCATAAGATGGAAAAAACCCATGTGTCTATCAACAGATTAATGAGTAAACAAAATATGTCCATACAATGGAATTTTATTCAGCAATTAAAAGAAATAAAGCACTAATATGTACAACATGTATGAAGCTTGAAAACGTTATGCTAAGTGAAAAGCCAATAATAAAGGACCACACAGCATATGATTCCATTTACATGAAATGTACAAGATAAACAAATCCATAGGGACAGAAGATGAAGTGGCTAATGAGCTAGGGAAGGAAGAATGCAGAAAGACTGCTGCTGGTACGGGGCTTCTTTTTAGGGTGATGAAATGTTCTGGAAATAGACAGTGGTGATGGTTACAAAACAGTGAACAGTATTAAACACCACTGAAGTATACATTTAATAGGTAAATTCTACGATATATAAATAATATCTTAATAAAACTTAGAAAGCTCTTCCTGTCCTGTATCAGATCCTTTGTATTAATGAAGTGTCCAAAATTTCCAAAATACTTGGATTGTTACTTACTTCAAACCTTATTTCCCATTGTTCCTCTTCATACTTTTTATCATAATCTGATCTTGGTTTCTGAAATAAACAAAGCATTCCAAAAAGTGAAATGAAAGTTGGAAAAAAAGTATTGTTGAGTAAAATCACCTTTAGCTATATTAAGATACTTTCCATATTTCATCACCACAAAAACTGGGTGCATTTCCTTGTTGGTATTATTTATTTGAGATCAATTGCAGGCAAATCTAATGTTCTGAATAATCTTACCATCTTAAGTTTTCAACAATAAGAAACCTCAAACTTATGCTAACATATGTCAATGCTAATTCATCTATTCTAAGAGTGAGAGCTCTTAACTTTCCCTTTAAAATGTTCATAGTGAATAGTAAAACTAGAAGAGAAAAACTAAGTAATCTGTATAAAACTTGTTTAATAACAGATGGAACTTCTTTTACACACACATATACACACTCTCTCTCTCACCCACAACAACCACACCTCTGCTTTAGCTTCTGGGCTGGGGCACTTTCAGGCTGCTTGGTGCCAGGAGGCTGCCCCACACCTCTGCTTTAAAGAAAAAGCTGGCAGTGAGAATTACAGGTACAAAGTTACAACACAATTTCTATTTGAGAGAATAAAGTAATTTTCTGTATCTATAGAACAATGTTTGATTGTGTACTATCATCAAAATGAATATTAAAAAGTCTAACAAGTAGACTGTCCCTCTAAAAATAAAAATATATTGTGATATAAAATATAATGATGCATAATCTATTCCTATAAAAGATTTATAGCAGCTTGAAATGTGAAACCATATCTGTAACAGGCCCTATTTTTAAAAGTACTAAACCACAGAAGCACCAGGCAAGGAATGAGCCACTTATAGAAGCTAAGCTCAAAATGTGGCTCAGGATTTCCTGTAAGAAGGCAAATGAGAGAATTTTGTAATACATGGCTTTTGTGTCAAGTAAAAGGAAAAAAATATTTTACCTGGCACGAGAGCCCTCTTCTGGTACTGACTATAAAGATTTTAGAATGTGCATCCCTGTATTCAAACAACACTGAATAGCATGGGCATCAATCACACTAGGTTTGTAGGTAGAGAAACATTAATTCAATCTTAATGTAATTAAAGTCTTTTAAAGGACATTTATAATGCATGATACAGCCTATTTTATCTTTCTCAGCAAAATGTATATATCCTCTAGACTCTCTTAATAGATCAGATATGTAGAATCATATTTAAGACATATGTAGTGTAAAACAAAATGTAACATTTTAACTAGACTTTTCTACATTTTAGATTTTTATAGAAAAATAGTTCACTTACTTCTTTCACCATCTCCTCAGTATGTTCAGAAGTACAATATTTATAATATGCCATAAAATAAGAAAGTGACATTCCATCAAAATAGAGATGAATAGACAATTTCTCCCATGGATTTCTAGGTAATTCCTATTTAAATTCAATAAAGATTATTATTATAAAAATAAAGTCCATTTGATGACTACATTTTTATAGTCAGCAAATATCAAATTTAGCCTCTGACAATCATAGTATTTTTTTTCTTTTTTTTTTTTTTGACCATAATAGTATTAACTAGACTGTTGGGCTAGTGACTCATTTCATAGAATTTTCTTCCTGGTATTTTGACACATTATAAGGGAGTAATTTACCACTTTGTTTTATGTAATATATACTTACAAGTCCAAAGGGTTTTCTAGTTATTTACCACAAAATAACTCGCTATATATAATTCCAATTCCCAAATACATCACCTTTAGATGATACTAATAAATTACATAGAAGGAGAAATAAAAGGTTATGTTCACAGGTGAAGAAATTAAGTTTCATTTAAATATCCAAAAATTGGCGGGACTCAGAAGAGTCTAAAAGCAGGAATCACAGTAACTTTAAAACTATGAATAAAGTCCATTTATAGTGATTGGGTACTGAATGTGTCCCTAACTGACAGGCCGACCCACAGTAATTCTCTTCATTTCCACTGATCCCACCTTTGACCAAACTCAGTTCTCCTCAGTTTTACTGCTCCTCACTGAATCAGTGTTGTTGCCTCCCGGTAGATCTTGTCCTATCTCTTCTTAACATTCGGTCCTCTGTCAATGCGGTCCCCTCCCGCTCAGTCCTGCTCCTGTGTCAGCACTCTTCTCCCTGCACCTAGTGGTCTGTCCTCTAATCACTTTAAGGTCTTGACTAAAATTTTTAAAGTGGAACCTCCTCCCTGGCCATGCCATTTCTATCAGCCTCCTTTGCTTTTTTTCTCCTAGCACCCATCACTATCTAATATTCCTTACAGTTTATTTTGTTTTCTCTTTCCCACCACTGAAATGGAAGCTCTAGAAAGGAAGGGATTTCTTACTTCTCAGCCCTCAGCTGTGTGTCCAGGCCTAGAGCAGAGGCTAGCACCTAAGAGGCCCTCTGTTAGCATCTTCCTTTGTGTTTCAGGGAGAGGAGTGAGTCTTGGCCAGGCCTGCTGTCAGTCGGATTGTGTGGCATGCACATTCATGGTCTCTGAAACCTGGCAGCCTTTGCTATACCACAAGTTGTTCTTTTACATTAATTAAGCTAAGCAGCAAAGAAAGCTGTCTAGACAAACTAAAAATTTCAATCTCTACCTTACTTCAGTGACTTGCCATGGAGAACTGAGTAACTAGGGAGGAACTCTTAGTAATAACAAAAGCCACTCTCTTATTTAAGTGGGTCTGTGCCTCCTTTAGGTCTTTATCACTCTATCATCACCCTTTAATACAAACATACTTTCCTTACCATATATCTTCCCACTTGGGTCCTGCAAACATAGCAGCTGCAGGTTGATCTTTATTACCTCACTGCTCAGAAACCTCCACTGAGGCCCTCCCTACCAACCCCATCAAACGGCCCATACCTCTCCTGAATGCTATTCACTACCACTACTCCTCACAAAACTTCCACTTTTCAAGTCAAACAGTTAGACCATTTCCCTAATGTCTCTTTGTATCTCTGTGCATTTCATTTCCCCAGTCAGGAGCATGTCACCATCTTTGCTTTACAGGCTACCTCAATTCTCACCATCTCTAAACTCCTACTACTCTTTTTACCAGTTACTTAGCTTTTGGCATGTTACTTTATAGTGGAAATTTTTTAGGTTTATGTCTTGTTTCACTAACCAGATAAAGGCTTTGAGGACACAGATCATGATAAACTCTGAATTACCTGGACCTAAGACAGTGCTGAGTATACAGCACCATCTTGGAAACTGCTCCATATATTTATAAACATGTCCAACAATTTAATACTGCCCCCTATAACAAGACAAGCTGTTAATAAAGAATCTTTCAAATTACTGACTTTAATGGTTATGAAAGTTCTCAAAAACTTGTTCAAAATCAGGCTTATTTAAAGCAAGTCTAGGAACCAACCTGGTAGTTCCTTTTATGCTAATGAGTAATTTATATTCACATAAGAAGGTATACACCATTGTTTATCATCAAAAATATCCCTCGAATTATGTTAGTTATAACATTTTATGGCAAATAATTTATACCAACTATATATACTTTAAATTACCATAATGTGAATTTCCACCTCTCTCTTTGAAAGCAGTTGTTGAAGGACTTCTATTGCATCTGGTTGCCAGACATTCCCAACCTATTTGGGATTAATAAACCAGATTCTTTTATGCTTTCATAAAATAAGACCAGGAAGCAAATTAAGATACACAAAAGTAGCCATAAACAAATAATATCGGGTAGTAGTACAAAATACACAAGCAGTTCTTACAGAATAGCATAGGTACATAAAAATAATCTTTAAAAATGAATAATTTGAGTATTCATTTTATACTTTAAAAATATAAACCTGTTCAGCAAGAGGTGAGAGATTAAAACACACACACACATGCACGCATACATACACACGCACACGCACACACACACACACCCCCTACATTTAAAAGTAAAACATTATGTCTAAAACTTTTTTTAAAAAGACCAATATGCCAATGTACTGCTTGTACAAGACCTACGATATGTATTCATTAACGAATAGTGATTGTCATGTTTTTATGTGTTAAGAGGTTCACATGGTGAGGCAGTGAGCCTTCCTCCAACAACCACAAGTCAACCATCTGAAGTGGACCCTCTGTCCCTAGTTGATCCTTAGGATGACTACACTTACGGTGAATATCTTGAATGCAGTACCACAAGGGACCCTGATATGGTTTGGCTCTGGGTCTCCACCCAAATCTCATCTTGAATTGTAATCCCCATGTGTTGAGAGAGCAACCTAGTGGGAAGTGACTGTATCATGGGGCAGTTTCCCTCATGCTGATTTTGAGTTCTCACAAAAGCTGATCGTTTTGAAAGTGTCTGACATTTCTCCCCTCAACCTTCAATCTCTTTTCCTATTGCAACCTTGTGAAGAAGGTACTTGCTTCTCCTTCACCTTCTACCACGATTTATGTTTCCTAATGCCTCTTCAGCCATGCAAAAATGTGTGTCAATTATCCTTCTTTTCTTCATAAATTACCCAGTCTTAGGTAGTACCTGTGTAACAGTGTGAAAACGAATACAGACCCCTTGTCAAAACAACCCAGCTAAGCCATTCCTAATCCCTGAGCCACAGAAATTGTATGAGATAATACAAGTTTATTGTTGTTTTAGACCACTATGTCTCAGCTTAATTTGTTATGCAGCAAGACAGAATAAGACACTCTTTTATCTGATCTCCAGTTTCAAGTTTGTTGTAATTTCATTTGATAAATTTTTGCAATCTTATACCTTCCCACTTATGAACACGTCTCTTCATTTATTCAGATGTTTTACAGCCTTCAATATAATTTTGTAACTATCTTTCATAAAGGCTGTTTAGCTGTTTTGGTAACATTTGGTGTTTTATTACTTTTTTGTTGCAACTAAAATTTCATCTTACGTTGTAAATATTTCTAAAAATGTATTAACAAAAACTATTTAAAACTAATCATCCCACAAATTATTATGTACTCACAGGTGTGGTATTATGGAGCTGACAAGGAATACAAAACTGGGGTATATCAGGATACAGCAAAATAGGGTAAAGATGGCACTGTGGAATCTTTTCAGTGAATCCATGATCTAAATATTGTACCTGAAACAGGTCAAATAAAATTAATAGTTTAAATTATTATTAAAAGCTAGGGGACAAAAGGAATTTCCTGTTATTTGGGAAAAAAAATAAAAATAAAAGGCCGGGCTTGGTGGCTCACACCTGTAATCCCAGCACTTTGCGGGGCAGAGGTGGACGGAGTGTTTGAGCCTAGGAGTTTGAGACCAGCCTGGACAACACAGTAAGACCCCATCTCTATTAAAAATACAAAAATTAACTGGCTGTGGTGGTCACAGTTACTCAGGAGGCTGAAGTGAGAGGGACTGCATAAGCCTGGAGGTTGAGGCTGCAGTGAGCTGTGATTGCATCACTGTACTCCAAGCCTGGTGACTGAGCAAGAACTTGTCTCAAAAAAAAAAAGCCATCTTGAAAATTTTAAAATCTGCATTTTAAAAATTTCCAGGAAAAAAGGCAATACTGTATTTATTCCCTCCTCATGCAATAGTGTATCAAACTTCATTGTAAAAAGGTTTTCTAACACTTAACCCATTAGACTTTTTTTAAAAAAACTGGGTCTTACTGGATTTACAAATTCTTTTGAAATGCTTTAATCTTGATAATTCAATTTCTAAATTGTCTTAAGAATAAAGAATGCCAATAAATTATTTCTTCTGTCCCAACATAATGAAATGAACATATCACTGCTTAATTGGATTTGCTTGGCAATTAGCATTAAAAAATAAAATAGAATTGAACAAAAAATGTCCGAATACGTCACAGATAATTAGTGTATGGTTTGACAAGATGTTTATTTCTTAATGTGGACCACAGGATAAACTTTGAAAGATACCTGGTTATGAAATGAAATCCATTGTGTACACTAAAAATGTAAAGTGACCACATGAAAACATAAAAGGTGATGATTAAACTATCAAAGTTCTTTTAAGTAAGTTAAACAGATATTTGGACAGCATGAAAATTTTTATAAAAGTTCATCTTATTTAACAAACATAAAGTTAATGAAGTATAATAATTTGATCAACACCGAATTTCATTTTACCTGTGGGGAAAAAAAAGTCAGGAGTTATCTGAGCAACTCAAATGTATGTATACGTGAATGCATGTTACTTTGCACATACATTCAAGTTGCTCAGATAACCCCTGTAACTATCCAGATGTTTAAGTACTTACCTCAAATTTGAAAATATCTGACGTCTATGAAAACCATTAAAAGTTTGTAGTTCAGTAGAAAAAGCCTAAAACTTAGAAGTTTAGGAATCAGATGCTTGGATATTAACTCTAGCATCATGACCCAGTAATCATGGCAGGTCACTGAACCTAAATTACAATTTTATTATGAGTAAAATGAGAATAATAATCTATGTCTAGGATAACTGTGAACAAACTATAAAATATAAATGCATATATGTGAAGGAAGCTAAAAAAAACCCTGAAGTACTATGTAATCACTAGACATCATCATCAAACAGATAATAAACTCCTGTCCAGGTGGAAACAAAAAACATTTACACTTAAGGTTTTCTTCCCCCATCCCCAATTAAAACTAAAGTTTTCAAATGCTGAATATATGATGAAGTATTTCATCAACTTCATTGCTTTACTTAGTAAATACGATGTACTGGAGGTATTTTCATCCGTATTTTACATATATACATCTTTTAAAGGATGTAGCTATTTTTGAAGATTTTGAATGAAACCTGAGTGCTACCTTATCACTCTGGAAAGGTAAATTGGCCGTTACCCTGAAAAGCTGACTAGGCCATAACAAATTTGCTAGTGAGATATTTAATATATTGGAAAACATATTGTTTTACTTAACGCTATGTGTACAAACAGGGTTACCAATTACAACTAAGTGGTCCAACCATTAACTAATGATCAAATCCTTCCCTAGAAATATCTTTTGCTTATTCAGGTTACTAAATATATTTGAAAATAAAATGAAAATTACAAATAAAAGTATAACATGACTGATCTTCCTACACAATTTTCATCAAAAGATGTTTTAATCCAATTTTCTCATTTCAAATACAAAAGACTATAGCATTTAACCTCAGAATAGTCACAAAAGAATATCAGACTCACTCTGACCATGCCACCTACAACCTCCATCACCTTTCCTCGATACCACAGAGTATCAGATCCTCTTACTGCACATGCTTCTCCTTTTTTCCAGAAATAAGGCTCCAAAAGACCAAGGCATTTTAAATTACTTTGAATTTCATTTGTCATTTTTATTAACTCAAATTCTGAAAAAAAGTATTAAAGACAGAAAGCATTTAAGGAAAATTCCCTAACATTTGTCAATTTAATAACATTTCTTCAGTAGTATAATTAAAAATCAGTCTCCAAAACAGAACTTTTGTAAAAATATGTTTTAAAACATATTAGTAATAGCACATAAACAATATTATGATCTTTTGATATTATGAAAGTACAAACATCATAAGGACCTCTAAACACATACCAGCTAGCCTACTATGAAAGTACTACCAATTTAAAATAGGGTCAGTTTGACAGCCTTAAGTAAAGCAGAACACAAGTTACATATTACTTGATGCTTAGATACAGTATAATGAGGGGAATATAAATTAAATTTTCCATTTTGCTTTCATTGCTAATTGGCCCAGTATTTCCACAGTAAATATATCCATAACTGATACCATAGAGGACAAGCTCTGGAGTCAGCTACCATTCCAACCTTACTGTTTTAGTTGTGTGATCTCGGGTAGTTCCCTTACCTCCAATAGGCCTCAGTTTATTCTTCCATAATAAGCACCTATTCTGGGTATAACAGAATCTTGTGGGAATAACAGTACCTGTCAGTATCATCATGTACTGCAGAGGATTAGATGTAAAGCATCCAGCACACTGCCTGGCAGTTAACAGGCTACCAGTTTGGACAATGACTATTTACACATGTCAAGCAGTTTCTGGGTTAAGTACTATTACCACAGGTCTCAAACATTATTATTTTTTTCTAGAACAGCTAATTGTACCGATTTTATTCTTTCAAATTAAAAAATATATTTAAGAGATCAACAAATAAGAGAAAAATTTCAGTAAATTCATATCTGCCATACCCACATTCATAGATACTAACTAGGGGTTAATGACATTTAAGCCCTATGATTGCGAGAGTTATCAACTATTCTGATGGGCCCAAGTTATAGTCAGGAAGCATTTGCATATAAGCCTAAAGATCTCAGGAGGAACCTGAATATTCTCAAAGTTTCCTAAAGCTCCCAGTCATTTGTTGTACTCTTTTCTCATTCTCAAGAAATATAAACTTCGGCATTTATCTTATTTTTAGAAAATGAGACAGGGTCCCACTCTGCTGTCCAGGCTGGAGTTCAGTGGTATGAACACACCTCACTATATCCTAGACCTGCTGGACTCAAGCAATCCTCCTGCCTCAGTTTCCTGAATGGCTGTGATCCAGGAATGTACCACCACGCCCAACTAATACTTGCATGTTTTGTAGTGATGGAGTCTTGCCATGTTGCCCAGCCTGGTCTCAAACTCCTGGGCTTAAGCAATCTTCCAGTCTTGGCCTAAAGTGCTAAGATTACAGGCGTGAACCACCAGACTCAGACTATATTCTTTCTTCATAGAGAGCCTACAAACCTGGAAAACCGCCATCCATACCCCCAGCATCTTAGTCCCAAGGTGAGGGAAGTAAGAGACACAATGGTGAAAGGCAGGTTAATTTATGCTAGTACTGATCTGAGAGTCATTTTAGCAGTCTATAGAAGCTAGTTTCATGTTGTTCCTCTTCTATGCTGGGAGAGTATTAAGGATGTCTACATCCTCACTGGTGGCCTAAGTTCTAAATTCTGCCAACAACGTGTATCATTGCCACTCTCAGGTGTACAAAAAATGGGGCTCCACGATTTTTACATTCTCAAGGATCCCAAGGTTTACAGATGCACAAAAGGATTGAAATCATGGAGGAAGTAGTAAAATCCTGGGTGGCAGCCCTCACATATCATGATGCTAAAAACCCAACTGCTTCATCACATATCTAACTCCCTTATTCTTACCAAACTTCATTACTTCTATTCTTTCAGCCAGGCTGAACCTCTATGTCTTACTTATGCCTATCGCTGTGTGAGTTCTTTCTCTAAGTTCCTAACTCGAAGAAGATCTACAAGTATTTTTTTCTTGTGCATATCGATCTGTATTTCCAAAGCCATGGAGTTTGGAGCATTTCTCAAAAATATTCTCCTTCCTCATCTCTAGTCTAACTTTGCCTTTGCTTTGTGACCTTGCAACACTTTGCACACAGTGTGTCCCACAGAAACAACAGGGTAGGGTAAAGAAAACACATGATTTAAGGAGCCAAGATGCACCTGAAGAACAAGAAAGTCAATGGATTTCAAGCGTTATAACTTCTATATACACCAAAAGTAATATAGGCTATATTCAGGAAAAAAACTGTGGTATTGGTGTAGGGATAGATAAATAGAACACACACTGAATAGGAAGTTCAGAAACAGGCTGGGAGTGGCAGCTCACGCCTGTAATCCCAGCACTGTGGGAGGCCGAGGCGGGTGGATCACGAGGTCAAGAGATCGAGACCATTCTGGCCAACACAGTGAAACCCTGTCTCTACTAAAAATACAAAAAAATTAGCCAGGCGTGGTGGCACGCGCCTGTGGTCCCAGCTACTCAGGAGGCTGAGGTGAAAGAATCGCTTGAACCTAGAAGGCAGAGGTTGCAGTGAGCTGAGATTGTGCCACTGCACTCCAGCCTGGTGACAGAGCCAGACTCCATCTCAAAGAAAAAAAAAAAAGAAAGAAAGTTCAGAAACAACTCCTGCATATACAGAACCTTAATTTTTGACAAAGTTGGTACTGCAGATCAGTGGGGAACATGTGGAGTATTAAGCAGATGAGCTGGAACTACTAACTAAATCTATTTTAAAAATTAGATCTCTTCTTCATATCTACCTGAAAATCTATTCCTGGATGGCCTAAAGACTTTACATAACAACAGAACTATAAACATTTTTTTACAAGACCATATAACAAAATAGCTTTCTGATCTGAGTAAGAACAGATTTAATGAGATACAAAACCAAAAAACAAAGATGACTGATAAAATTACGTTAAAACTTTCTGATCATCCAGAAACTCCCAAAAGACACTAAAAAGATAAGAAACTGAGAGAATATATCTGCAACATATAAAACTAAGAAGGAGTAAGTGTTCGGGATATATTAAGAACTGTAAATCAGAAAGCAGTGACTTAACGGAAAGCGAGCAAAGACATGGACAGGCACTCCATAAACACAGAAACACAAATGACTCAAATAGAAAAAATGATGTTTACCCCATATGAAGTCAGGAAATGCTAATTAAAGCCATAGTGAGGGACAATTTCGGACCTACTAGGATTGGGAAAACTTAATCTGACATTATCAAGTGTTAGCAAGGATATGGGGTAATGAGAATCCTCATGCACTGCTAGTGATGAGTGTAAACTGTTATAAACAATTTGGAAAAACTATTTTTTATTTTTATTTATTTTTTTTGAGATGGAGGCTTTCTGTTGTCAGGCT